TTTTTTTGCATCCGTCTTTACACAACGGAAAAAAACAGACCAACCTATAGAAACAGTACTGTAAAAACCAGAATAGAAACACAAGTTAAGATAGGCAAGAAAATGGTAAGTGAGCACCTGTCCAGCCTAGACGAGTTCCAATCACCAGGACCAGATGGATTACACCCCAGGGTTCTCAAGGAACTGGAAGATGTGATCTCAGAACCATTGAACTATATCTTTCAAAGTTCCTGTAGCACTGGGGAACTACCAGAGGACTGGAAAAGAGCTGATGTAGTTCCCATCTTCAAAAAAGGGGGGAAAATGGATCTAGGAAACTACAGACCTATCAGCATGACCTCCATGCCTGGGAAGATTCTGAAAAAGATAATCAAGCAACGAATCAGCAAACACCTAGAGGCAAACAAAGTCATTAGGAAAAGCCAACATGGGTTTGTCAAAAACAGATCATGCCAGACAAATCTTATTGCATTCTTTGACCAGGTAAGAAAATCAGTGGACCAGAGGAATGCCGTGGATATAATTTACTTGGACTTCAGTAAGGCATTTGGTAAAGTCGACTACAACCTACTACTTGATAAGATAGAAAAATGTGGGTTAGACAGCATCACCACCAGATGGATCCGTGGCTGGCTGACCGGCCGTACTCAGCGTGTGGTCCTCAATGGAACTGAATCTACATGGAGGAAAGTGTGTAGTGGGGTGCCCCAGTGCTCTGTTCTGGGCCCAGTGCTCTTCAACATCTTCATCAACGATCTGGACGAGAAGATAGATGGGGAACTCATCAAATTTGCAGATGACACTAAGCTGGCAGGAATAGCCAACACTCCAGAAGACAGGCTTAGGATACAGGAGGATCTGGACAGACTTGAACACTGGGCGCTATCTAACAAAATGAAATTCAGTGGTGAAAAAAGTAAGGTTCTACATTTAGGGAAGAAAAACCAAATACACAGGTATAGTATAGGTCAGGGCTTTTCAACCTTTTCACCCATTGTACCACTTTTCGGATAAGGCAATATCCGAGTACCACCACTCGCAAACAAGGTATCAAAAACTTGACCCCCCCCAAAAAAGAAAAAAAATGAGAAAGTACAGGTAGTCCTTGACTTACAACAATTCACTTAGTGACTGTTTGAAGTTACAAGCAAATTATGACCATTTTTCACACTTATGACTGTTGCAGCATCCCCAGGGTCTTGTGATTTACATTTGGATGCTTGGCAACTGATTCATACTTATGACGTTCAGTGTCCCAGGGTCATGTGATAAATGGCCGGGGGGGGGATGGCCAGCTGATCACTCAGGTTGCAGGGTGCCTGTGGGGGGGAATCCGTGGGTCTCTGGTGGAGGGGGATGCGACTGGGGCAGGTGCCCGCCTGCCTTCCCTCCCTCTTTCCCATTGTCCCTTCCTTCCTTCTTTCCTTCACCTCCCCCTTTGTCCCTTCCTCCTTCCCTCCCTCTCTCCCATTTTCCTTCACCTCCCCCTTTGTTCCATTCCTCCTTCCCTCCCTCTTTCCCATTTCCCTTTCCTTCACCTCCCCCTTTGTCCCTTCCT